TGAATTTTCAAACAGACTTCTTTTTTCCTTTTTCTCCCTCCTTTTATGGTTGCTTTTTCAGGGGGGTGGGGGGAGGGGGCAAGCGCCCCCGTTTCCCTCCCCCTCCCCGGCGCTCATGGTTTCACTGTAAATATTTGTGTACGTATACAAATTTTTATAAAACAAAGAATTTTGAGGGGTGCCTTTAGGCAAATACAAATATATATCATAGATCCTCTGTTGGTTTCGGGCACTCAGCGACCCTCAAACACTCTGACCATCATTTCGTGGATGTTTCATTTCTTCCCAATCAGATACTTCCATAATCTTCCTGATTCTGCCTAACCCCTGTGTCTTGTTTGGTCCCGTTGCATTGCCTCTCCGCAAAAAGTGCAATTAGAAATTGTCTCTGCGTTACCTTTTTGTCTTAAAGAAAATCTTCATCCCTGATTCAAATAAAACATCGGTATAATCGATGTCTGCCGCCTAGCCTTTCTGCTATATTTCACCCGCCTATTAGACTCGTCTGGACGAAGGCCGACAGCGTCTTGAAGGAGATAGCTGGCTATCAAATGACGGAACTAGAATTATGACGTAAACCACTGGCCACGATGTCGACTAAGTTGTTATGGATCACAAGACATCACTAGCCCATCACAAGTCATCCAGACCTAAGTCAATTCAAAACTATTCACATATATACTGTACAAAGGTATTCCTTTGTTATTGTTGTGACTTGTGAATTGACTTGTGATTTACTTTTAACCCAACTTGTTATGTACTTCACATCAATCACAAGTACAAAAAAACACTGCAGTTGGGTGTCATTCATTTTGAAAACAATGTTAGTAGTAAAGATGGAGCGAATCAGACCCCATTGGTGGCTTTTTGGGCCCCTCCACTATCAGGACAAAACGAATCCTGTAAAATCGTTTTCCATTGCACCTCATTATGCCAACGAACCGTGCACTTCCCCCAATGCCCAAATTGCTCTTGTGAACATGCCTCACATCATTGACGTAAACGCCAAACATCTTTGTCAATTTTGACGAGGAGCCAAAAGTGCCCGTGATTCTTCAAAGAAATTCAGCTGTGAATCATTTGATTCCATTCAAAAACATCTGCAACGTCTTTTTTGTTTACAAAGCCAGTTGCTCAAAACGAAATTAACCGTTAACCAACATACAGAGTATTGTAAACTCTGATAAGAATATAATATAAAAGAAGTCATACTAGTTCACTAAGGATTTAGTCTCCGTCCATCCCATCATGATGTCTTTTCTGGCTCCATGGTGTCCTTTGTGGCTAGCTTCGTTCCAAGTTCCTGATATAAAGTTTCATATTTGCCTTTTATTTACCAAAGGTTAATTTGAACGTATGGTTGATGAAGAGTTTCCTCCTGTAACTTTTCACAATGTGCTTATAATATTTTGTTTTTAATTGACTCACACCGAATACATGTTGCGGTCTGAAGGGATGTAACAAAATAATATTAACCGGATCCGATAATCTTTAAGAATCTGGATTCTTCACCTCAAATCTCTCATCAGTGTTCTTTACTTTAAATCTGTCATCGACACCAATTTCAATAACGCTGCCTGAGCGGAATTCTGAAACCAATACCGATGAATGCGCAAGGGGAGGCACGGATTAAAACGCTTAAATGGTGTTAGATTTCCGCATGCAATACCTACTTCTGCTCGGAGTATTCTCCGCTATTTCTTTGACGGTTGCAATGGTATTTGTACCAACAATATTGTGATAGGGTCCATGTTTAAAAAATGTACCGGTGTTGCAGCTTCTTTGTCAGATTGGCACGCACTGTGTGATATTTTAACCGAGCTTGGAATGTTTTCATAGCTGTGCATTTTGGAAGACTTATAATAGAAATGCAAGAAATGGGATAAATATTTTTCGAAGACTGGTTTGACTAATACGTCTTTGCAGTTCTCTTTCAGTTTAGAAACTAAAGACCACACACATATTCTGTCAAGCTGGCATTTTGATGACGCGAAAATAAAAGGACCAATTTATTTGTCCGTGTTATCGGAAAATATATGGCATTTTTTACCAGACGTAGGCTCAGGTAGACTTTGAAGGGTATTTGTCACGATACAAATTTCTATCGAAATTTATTCGGCACTGACTGGTTACATTTTTCTCCTTTGCTTTTCGATAGCACCAGTAGACAGCGCTTATTTGTTCTTGTATTATCATTATTTTTATTTCGACAACATCCAACGGCGCAAGCGCCAGAACAGGATGGTTAAGACTTGTAAGAAGTCGTGGAAAGAAGACTGTTATGAACCCTATTAAACAGTCCTGAATTATCCATTTTTTTCACACACCCCTGCTTTACATAGGCTATTAGGACAAACCTGATATGTATGCTAATTGTGTCACGCTATGTGAATACCGAAATGAATTCAAACACTTGGGTCATACAAATTCTTCTGTTGACTGGTAAAAAATGAAGAAACTACACGTTGTAAGGGGCAATAAAACAAAAAGAGGGACTATAGTAAATAAGAGGATACTGTGGTGTGGCCTTAAGCGTCGGCCACGTATGACGCTGATTAGCATGAACATCTCATGCGTAGCCAGAAGCAATAAGTGCTCTCCAACTTACAGACAATTATGGACGGATCTGAATAATTGACGATGTAATTTAGAAGTACAATTTCACAACTCTGTAAAATTACCGGGCCGCAGGCTGGTGCAGAGAGGCATTGTGGCATGCACAAAATGGTCAAGCCCATTATTATGCGCCTTGTGCACAGGAAGATTTGACGATTTTCAGTTCTGGATAAAAGGAAAAAATCAATGTACAAAGGTCTGTAGACCTTATTCGTTGCGGATGTCTCAGAGGATGTTCTTTGTTATTTAAATACGGTAACAATTAATTAACAAATGGTTAACGCATGCCTAACAGAGCATTACAATAGCACTGCCCTCTCACTCCGCCTTAACGCATAACGTCTTTTAATAACCGAATCGGTATCTGCAATTATTTTCCATAATGCCATCGAAAAGAGATGGAACGATTGTTCCCAAAACAGTGGGAGCTTCAACAATCACGTGTAGCAAGAAATGTGGCAGACGGAACACCCCTCCCCCATCTTTTGTGTTTGTCATTGTGGTACCGGAATCTCGAGAATTCTTTGAAGATATCTAGGGGTGTGTGTTTAAGGTATAGGGACAGGGGGGTGCCCCTCTGCGACAAATCGTGCAGGGAATATCAACAATACTAAAAAGCATGCCATCGAACGTTTCTGAAACTTTCCACTGAAACGCCACCGGGAAATTTGCCTCCGAATCTGTTGGAGTTATCCCCAAAGAAGACGCATTCATGTGCGCACGCGTAAATAAAACAGAAACGGCTTTTGCACAAAATGAAACCAGAAAGGCTTATGGTCGAATATACGTTTAAACCGCTCGATTTGTAACGCCAACCAGATTTGGGTCCTATAAGTTACACGGTATTGAGTAGAATAAAAAGGTGACCCCATCCGTTCCGAGTTACTGCTTGTAATTACATTGGTTGCTAAGATACCGCGCGCAATGGCCAAGCAGGGAGCTATTTCGAGTTCAGGGATGCTGGAGTCTTAACGACATTGCCAAGCACCCAAAGTGCCCCTAATGGTATTATTTTGTTGCCGAGGGAAAAGTCAGGAAGACAACATATATTTTATGTATTAATGGGTGCCTGAATTGGGGCGGAGTCGTCTTTCCTCGTGGGGGTAAATATTTTTTTCCTATGCCTATCGTGGGTATGTATTTGACAAATAGCGTTCAACGTGGGGAAGATAGCATGTAAAATTGAATGGCATGGTTACTTTCAAGGGCTTAGGCGTCTTGTGTAATAGTTATTTCAAGCATCTACTATTACTACTTATTAATAAAGGGGCAATTGTTTGGAAAGTTGAATATCAGAATATCGAATCGGCCATTGAAAAATATTTAACACTGAGCATAATTTTGAGACAAACAGTAACTTACTTATTGTGAGGTAATAGTGTTTTTTTTCACTATTGCTGTGCATGCCTATATAAAAAGGTATATAAAATTACATATTTTCAATTGAATAAATTTGGGGAATATTAATACACTGTTATATGAATATAATTGTAACAATTGAAAGTTACTTTCATCAGTTAACTGAAGCTAAAGAATTAGAAGTGCATTTCAAAATGAATAAATATTCGTTAATTTATATAATGTATAGAATTTCCCGATCTAATTTTATATTCAGGAAACCGCCATTAGCATAATTTTGATTTATTGCAAAACGGTGTGAAGGCGCTATAGTAGTGCAGGTTTTAACTCGTGCAGGCTACCGGCATAAAAACATAAAATGCACATCCAAATGGCTTCAGATTTGATTAGAAAAAGAAGGCAACTGACAGATGCGAGAAGAAAGCATCCTCAACGACTGTTTACTGCAGTTGTCCCGCTACACCAAACATTAAAATTGCAAAGCGTTTGACGAGTCGACATTGCCAACTCGTTTGTTAGGTAGATATACTTTTTTTGCTGACTGAAAATCACGGAAAATCTTTTGCTGAATATTTTTTAGGCACTTAAAACTGGGCATGTTGCGGTTAAAAAAAACCGACTGGAAATCATTAAAAGACTTTTAAAACTTATAAAGACTATATATTTAAAAACCATATCAGTATTTTATAGCATACATGTATAGACCTACATTATACATATTACATACACGCATACAACTACGACATCATGATGTTGGAAACTTGCACCGTCAATAAATTAGTGATGTCTAATTTGAGGACTCTTTTGAAGATGTATTCGCAATGAGCAAGCCCGGGTTGGATTAAAACAGAGCAAGAATTAATAAGGGCCTAAATAACAGGCACTCAGATTTCACCTAAGTTCCCAACGTACAGCGTAAATTAATACAGAGATATCGCGCACACGACTCCGTTCCCCCGGAATTACCCGTCGATAAAACGCCAAGGGAAATAAAAAGTAGTCGCACAAATGCGGGCCATATTTAGTGCAATTTACCCCGTGGCATTGTGGGTAGAGTTGCAGACGATACTGGCTCGTTTCGGCGGGATTACATATCGACATCGCGTACTGTCGCTGAAAACGTCATGGAGGCCCGTTTATTGTGTAGCACAGGCAGGTTGACGGTCGTTGGAGTAGGAACAACATCCGAAGCACACAACAGCTGTTTGTGCTAGTGATTCAACAATAACAACATGCTGTGGCGAGGAGTTGCACTAGAGGAGGATAGTGGGTGCTGAGGAAACAACGGCTGACAGTACAGAACCCGTGGAGATTGTCCTGCGTGGATTATAATACACAGCCTAGCGGGGAGGAGCAGTATAGAGAGTGGGATGTATCCGCGGCAGCTACGGCGGATGATCAAACAGGGCCGCCTGCCTGGTAGAGCCCCCCAGGGAAGACGGGGCTCTAGCTCGGCCAGTTCCCGGTCCTCGTCAGGCTCCCGGACTTCGTCTCGTATACCAAGTGAGAAACACACTCATCACCCATATATCTCATCTTCTTGTCATGTCAATGAATTCATATCGGAGGCGTCTGTACGGGATGTGTTTGTTTTGGAAGACCTGGCCCGTTTTCAATGCTTTAATGCACAATTGTGCATTAGTAACATGAGAGCCGGAATGAAATTCTAGACGCAGCCTTGATTGTGTGGGAAAAAAATCGTTATTGCATAAAATTAGCATTATGATGGTTGAACGTGTACCGCTTGCCGGCAATTATATTATGCAGGGTACTTTGTTATAATTACAGAGTGTTATTTCTGCAATGCTAGCATGCTAAACAGTTATGTTATTTATTTAAAATGTCAAACAATCATATTTGCCAAACTGGTAAAACTACATGGTCACCTGATTAAGCGATGATGTGGTGAAAGATTGGTTTTAATAATTTATGGACAAACCTGCATTTCATAAGGCCGCAAGATGCTGTGAATATTTGTTCAAATACCTTTTGTTCTGATTAATAGTATATTGATTGTTTTAGTCTGGCATATAATTTACCAACACCTGTTGTTGTGTCTGTAAAAATAGTGTGCATGCTGATTTCACTGCTTTTCCTTTTCAGTGTTAGTGTGTGCTTCCGTAAATGCTATATTCTACCTATAGTGATACATAAAATAGGTAGCAACGTATCTACAGGCAAAATGAATGATTGGCCATCGCACTTGTAGAAATCATCTGCTCATGTTGTTTAGCGCCAGCCGTGCCTCAAGCGTTTTGGCGGCTCTCTCGTTGATCGTCGCAGCCATCTCCATGGATTTAAGATCCGGGCATCCAGGGGACCAGGCGTTAGAGCGGCTGATCCAGCCGGAGATACAGAAATGCTTTCGTTCCAGTAGCCCCTCCCTCTCACCAAACAAGTGTTGTTTATCCTTTGTGCTCCGTTTAGCTCCGAGGCCTGCGTGATTCACTCGCGTGTGCCGTCCGGCCAGTGAGGAAAATGTGTGGACCTGTAGCTCTGATTAAGCGAATTTACGACCGCCATCTTGAATGACTACCGTGCAGTAAATACACTCACACACACACACGAAAAACAAGTGATGTTGTCAATGGAACTGTTTATGTTAGGATGTGACGAAGTAATGTTTCCAAATGATTTGTTTAGCCTCACTCCTTTAATTTTTCATTTTTATCCGACCTAATTATTTGCCAAGATTTCAAGAGATTTCAAGTTAATAATAACAGGTTCTAATTTAGCGCTTTTAACTAATATCAAAGCGTTTCATATTATTATCAGTTATAGTATGATGTGATGCGGCCGATAAAGAACAAGGTTTTGCCGTGGTGGGATCTGCGCTGTTGTCAAAATCGAAGTGCACTTACTGTGAAGTACATCGCACCTTTAATCAATTTGAATATTATATAAATTCAATTTTCTTGAAAACTGTGTAACCAGTTGCGCCTGAAAACACACGGTGCCTAGTGCACACTTTCCTGTGGACGTGATATTAATATCTTTGCAAACCTTTCCTACAAGGAATATTTACAGGTATTGGAGGCCCTAAAGGCTCCATCTATACCATTCTAAATGCTCTCTGGAATAAATCAATGAAGTTACAAAACAGCTGCATATTGCTATATAATTTTGGACGGCTACATCTGTTCAGACAATTATGCTGGTATAGTGTCCAAAGGAAATCATGCATAAAAATAATGTATTGCATTTTTTTTTTACTTCTTTGGATAAGTTAAAAATCAAACAATTAAATCGTTAACAATTTTTGTTGTAAATTTATTCTAAGTTCTCTACAAATTTGGTGTGGTTCGACACGGCGGTTTTCGCCATTTGTACGTCAGCAACGAGTTTCTTGTGAACTGTTTAATTGTAACAGTGTCTTTTTAAGCCGAATCTTAGTACTGTCATTGATAGAAGTTTGTACGCAGTTTGAAGTATAATTTAGAGTTTTTATTTCACGGCATCGTAGTCTCACAGAAGTCAAGATTCAGAAATCTAAGAAAGTTGGAGAACACTGGATGGTGGTTGTTACATAAGCAAATTGTCATGGGTCATTAAAAGAAATCGACCGAAAGTATACTTGCATTAAGCTGATTTGCAGCTGCTTTCGGTAATATCATATACCATACGGTATATTTTCTGTAACAAATCCTACGTTCGTCATAATATGTTAGAGTGTTCCTTCAAACTTGCCAATTTGTGATCGTAACTGCCTATCCTCCAGAATGTCATTAGCGGTGTTATTGCAATGGGTATTACCCGTAATGGAGTGCGCTGAAAAATGCATGAAATGTATATAGTTCTGTTCCAATCATCATAGATGGTGCCTTATTGCAATCAACAGTACCGAAGGGAGTTACAGCTGTCGAATGTAATCCACATGGTCGTGTCGTGTCTAAGACGTGAAACACATCTTACCAATCAGACGAAACTCTCCCTAATATCGAACGGTGCTTAAGGAGAAAAAGGAAAAGTATCATTGCAATAATCGTTTGAGTAATGGGGGCGCATACCACGGTCCTATTCCATACAGTTGTCAAGCAGAACATTTTGCTAAACAAAAAACATGATAAACAAAAATGAACTGAAGAACATTCGAAATACATTGTATGACACTTCGTTGATAACCTGTTTAGTCCAGCAAACATTCTCTGTGTTTTGCGAATTTCTGCACCGTAAAACTGGTCCCTGGTATGTAATAACATTCGACCTATACCCGCTCGCACGCCCCTGCCATGTGATTCCACGAAACGTTCATTAATGTGCCCATTCACCTAAACAAAAAGGGCATTTCTTTTTTGTTTCGCTTCTCATGCCGTCCCAAGTTCAACAACACTTTAGTTAAAGGAAGCAGAGAGGAGATAATTACTGTCTCCTCTCGGGACGCCAATTGGTGAATAATTAATTGATTGATCGTGCAAGTTGTGGCACGACACATCATGCACGCATTAGCAAACCGGTCCTGCACGACCTGCTACGGTTTCTGGTATGGAGCTTGCCCCAAAAGTGGTGCGACGACGCGTTTTTTTTTTTTTTACTTGTTTTTTCTTCAAATGTCAGCTGATGACTGCAAATGGTGCCCAACTGAATTTAGTGCATAATGTATGGGAGCCCAGAGAGGCCACATAAAGCTTATACTCGATCGTAACCCCATCTAAAAACACGCTACAATAATGTGCAGCAGCGGGGTTCCAGTCAAACCAGCGAGTTTGGCGGTTTTGAGACATCATCTTACATTGAAATTATTTTTTGTTTTTGAAATTTTGCCGATGCGCATGGCTACAGCGACGCGCGCGCATACCAGAAACCCGAGGCCTTTTTTTGGGGGGGGGCCTTAAACACACAGTTTGCTTTTAAATCCCAGCAAAAAAACCCGTTTCATATAAGAACGCAGTTTCATGTTGATTCTAACATGTTAAGTGAGAATTTTGACCATCGGCAGATGTTTTCACTGATTCACATATTTCAAATATCACATCAGATTGCAGAACATAAGAGCGTGTATATCTATTTCTATTTGCAAAGAGATGGAGCTACTTTTTATGAAACTGCCGACAGAATTAGAATTAGTACTTGAGCCCAGCAAAAACAAATCGGTTTAGAGCTAGTCAATATGCCATCTGAATCCCATAAAATGCGGCTGGAATCTTGTGGTTTACAGCTTCCAGAAATTGCCCCAGTTTAGAGTTGGGTGAATCAGACTTGAAATAGTGTACTAAATTCGAATACAATTTTATTGAATATTTTTCTGCAGTTGCCAACCCGTCTTCCTCGTCTTTCACGGAAGATGACCCGGGGAATGCAGCCTCAAAGAACGGGGACATTCCAAGTAAGTGGACTTACATTATCAAGGTTTCATGAATAATGCCAAATCAGTGATCTCATTCCACAATGTTTTGAAAACTCTGGGCTCTTTGCAAGTTTGGGCTGAAAGAGGCTACGCTGGTACACGTCGGCTAATCTTAAATGGATTCTAAGCTTGGCTACCAACTAGGACGTGAAACGTTCAGTGATTGCAAGTGCAACTTAATTACTGTTGTTCGAATATGGGTCATTCTTGTCCAAAGTGTGACATACTTCCTCTACCTATTACCTTGGTACTTTGTAATTTACCATTCAAGTAGGGCCTATCATGAAGAATTACTTGAAACGAGATTTTTTTGGTTGGGTAAGTATCATCACTCTTGGAGGATGACTGCATTAGGCCAAAAAAAAAGGCTCCGGTTTCTGGTATGGAGCTTGCCCAAAAAGTGGTGCGGCGACGCGGCTTTTTTTTTTTTTACCTGTTTTTTTTTGCTTCAAATGTCGGCTGATGACTGCAAATGGTGCCCGACTAAAATTAGTGCAAATATTATGGGAGACCAGAGAGGCCACATAAAGCTTGTTCTCGATATAACCCCATCTAAAAACACGTTAAAATTGTGCAGCAGCAGGATTCCAGTCAAACCAGTGAGTTTGGCGGTTTTGAGACATCATCTTTCATTGAAAAAAATAACTTTTTCATTTTGCCGACGCGCATGGCTACGGCGACGCGCGTGCATACCAGAAACCGGAGACTTTTTTTTTGGCCTTAAGGAGTGCATCAGAATTATAAAATCATAGATGTTAGATGTGACAGGGACAGGAAAAAAGTGGGCCCCAAATGTATAACGTTAACCATGTGACAAGTCCGTGAGAAAGTACTTGAGAAGCGTATTTTGCACCTGTTATTAACACATTTAATACACTTAATTGATAACTACACCACTGGTTTCTAATTGGATTCACACGTGTCTATACGTCTACACGAATAACAGTTATTCAGTGCCAGTGGCATGGGTGTCTGCAAAAGGCATGTGTGCATCCGTTGACATACTTGTAAGGGAATAAGCATGCACTTGGCGATAAAGCGAGGAGCCAGCTACTTCACTATTCCCAAAGGCAATTATAATCAATTCAGTGTGTACAAATAATAGATAATGCGTATCATTATAGTATATTATTCGTGTGCAAACATATGGAGGCAATTAAGTGCCATGTTTGCAGCAAGCATGTCTGCGCCCGCTGACACTTGTACTAGAACATACCCGACAGCGCTGACCTGCCGTGTTAGTTTAACCTATTATTTCCAACCTTAATGACAGACGGCTGGGTGCAAAGGAGTTCAAATCAACACTGGAACGTTATTAGTTCCAATTAATGTATATCTAGGGCTTGTTATCCTCACCAACACAAAGACTCTAAGGGCCATTCAAACGAGGAAGTGATTGATAGTGCAATTTTGACATGTAATTAAGTCGGGGTGTTTCGTCTTAACCGTCACAACTGGACTAAATCACTAGGGTTTTTCCTACATTTATTTTGTTCCGCTGATTTCAAACTGCTTAAATTCAATCGATCGGTATTTTTGGGTGCCCTATTTTAGGGCAGGAAACAGAATGCAAGTAAGTTGTTGCAAATGGTTATTTTTTCTTCTCAGTTTAGAACAGATAGATCACTCGACTAAGATTCCATCTTATTAATAGTCCTGCTGCTGTATCAGATTCGGACCAGTCAGACGGTGGTCGAGTGTAAGACGTTTGCACTAGTAAGCAGGAGTTCGTAGGTTCGCGTCCCACCGGAGTCATTTTTTTCTCACAATCACTAGGGACAACACTGAGTACATGTATGTCGGTGGAGGGCAAAATCGAACACTGAAGATAGACGTAGTCATTTGAGATAACGTTTGTCTTAAGTAGCCTAGTGAGGCAGGTAGGGAAAATATTTGGGGGAATTGTGCCAAGCATGGCATTTGGCACACAGTCAGAGTATGTCTGATGAAAGATATTTGGCTACAGGGCTAGATTTGTCCTTTGAAAAATATAGGTAGAATAACAAGCAGTTTTCAAAATTTTGAAAATGGCTGCCATTGCTTGTTATTCTACCTGTATTTTTTCAAAGGACAAATCTGCGATGGCCCTATAGCCAAATATCTTTCTCTTGACATACTCTGACTGTGTGCCAAATGCCATGCTTCTATCATCAAAGGCACAATCCCATCACCTATCTGTCGTATAAGTAAAGACGTCTGTGTCACAGGGGAAGGAACTGTCAACAATTAGGAAGTTTTAACAAAGATTTCAAAAATGTTAATTTTATTTGGTACCTGACACGACAATTGATGTCTGGTTAAGAACAAAAAGTATATACATTTATGAACGAAACAAACATGAACATTGGAATTTGAATGAATGTATGTGAAATTTTACCAAGAAAAAGTCAGTTGCGATTTACGATTGTTTTTGCGCTCGAGTGCTGTTTCAATTCAAAATGCGTTTGTAGCTACTAGTTCCTGCAAAGCACCTTTATTTCATTACTTTAAAAGATGTGAAAATCTTTGTTGAATCTTACTGATATTCTAACGCCCTAAACCACATATACGTAGTCTCGTAAAGATAAATACAAATAACTCCCCCACTAACTGAAAATAATTGCCGATACAGAGTCAATGTACTTAAATCTGATATCAAAACAGTAAATATTTTACCGTCAACATTCTTACCCGCAAGCCTACCCTGCAATTAAAGTTCCTTTAATGTTATTCATGACTGGCATAAAACGAAGCATTGATGTAAATTTATTCAAGGTAAGCCTGCAAATATTTAGTCGCTGTCTGCTCTTAAAACATGATGCGATACATGGCATTTGGTCTGGTAGAAAAAGTGTGTTGACACAACCAATATCGCGGTGCAAATTGAGAATATGTTTAGAGTGTTACTGTTGATTGGCCCGACTTCCTGGCTGCTCAGATATCAAACACACACGCATGTTAGAGTCTCCAGTGGCCAAAAAAATACCGCGGGTAAAAAATAGGCGGGAAAAGAGCTCCATTCTCGTTCGATGTTCAGCGAGCAGACGAATTGTCTCTGTCACTGTAAATAACCTGTGCCATTTCCCACGAATAGTCCTTATCAACAATGTCACCAAAATCCTTGGGTTTGACAAGCGCGAATTATAATGCAAATGCGCGCGCTGTGAGTAGTATGTTCGGTTCTGTGTTTGTTTCTTCCTTTTTTTTAAAGGGGGGGGGGGGGGTTGTCGACTAGGCCTTTTGCTATTATAACTGTATAACCTCGAAGGCAGAATTCCCATGCATAATGCCGCCCGGCTGGTAATTTTAGACGCTCCACCAGATCATAATGACGTGCTTCGCCTTCGAAATCACGAACATTCCTGCACCTTAAATGCAAACTGGGAACTGCACATGTGAAGTATTTGTTTTCTATATTGGGACCTTTTGTGCATCTGAAGATGTAACTTCAGAACGGTTTCTCCGTATAGGTTTGGCAGAAATGGCCTGATTAATTCCATAACGGTATTGATTTTTTTTTTACGTTGGCCATTATTTGAAATAGCTGCCAGCATTTTAAACATTTTATTTTGGTCGCTGGTCGCTAACCGTCAATCAAACTTAAGTGGTTTGCAGCGCAATCATAATGTCACATATGGCGTGGGCACAAATATGTACATGCAGAAAGGTAACATTAAACTCAACAGGTACTCGGCAACAAAATACCTTCTACATTCAATTTTGTTCTGTCACGATCAGCATTCGTTTCGCCATAATGTCGCTTGTACTTTCCCAATGTCAAATTCCCTCACTTAAAATGAATGCCACGCAAAAACAGACGCCATCTAAAGACACAAAGGTTAAAATTAAATGCAGTTGCGCACTTTATTGGCAATTGTAATGTTCATTTCACAAAAGGTAAACATTATTGTGCCACAAGGATGGAGTACGGATAATGTGACCAATCACATCCATTTTGGTCCAGACAAATTTGGTTATTAGGCACAATACCCCATGTCAAACGGTAGTTTTCGATTCTTCTTCTTATTATTATTATTTTATTTCTGGTAATGAAACCAAGGAATCCTCAAGAGCGCCCTAGGCACTGTAAGCTCGCAAGCCTGACGAAACCTGTGGAGAAAAGACGATGAGAAGAAATTACAGTTTTAAAGGTGGGAGGAAAACCCCAGAAGGATATTCTGGGGAAAACCCACGGAATCAGGTATAGGGACTGAAAACCCAATCCACATGTTGGCCCAGGCGGGATTCGAACCCGGGTAACAGCGATGGAAGGCAAGGAAAATACCGCTACGCCAACCTCAGTTCATGCGAGTTACCTTAAGTTTTGTGAAGTCCTATAGGCTACCAAACTGTAGTTTTGCACACAAAAGTTGCTGCAATCTAACATAAGGATGTCACAAGCAATATGCAATCAGTCTTTGTCATTATTTTGACAGTTGCGCCAAAAAAGAAGAAGACGGTCTTTGATCTACGCCCACAAAATTACTGCAAAGATGATCTTGTGTGGTGATGACAGAACTGCCATAGATTCTACGCTAGATACAGCAAAATAACGCATGTGTTTGGGAGATAATACATGAACTTCGAGATGCTATTTTGACATTTGCAAGGACCCCAGTGTAAAAAATTACAACTCCCACAACTTTACAAAGTAATCCAGTGAGTGTGGATAGTTAGGTTAAGTCCTTTATACAGGCACGAAATCACCGAATTTATCATATTAAACCGCGAGCCTTGTTGTAATTTCCAAAGGTTATCGCCTGCATCGAGGACTTGTATTCACCTTTTAGTGATAGTTTTAAAGACTGTTTTTCTGTTGATTACCAAAGACGTTGCACGTGTTGCCCAAATGTCTCATGTAGATAGGACGTTTAGTCTCCCCTTTAGGCGGCACTTTGAACTATCAAGCATACATCCTCAATGTTTTCTTAAATTTCTTCCAGCTTCCTTGCGTCTCGAAATGAAGGAGATGTTTTCAAGTAGCGCGTGAACTTCACTGG